GTCCCATCTTTAGGACCAAGTTCTTGAATGACTTCTCTTGCATCCTGGGAGTTGGGAGGAAGTACCTGGAATCTGATGGGGATTAGCTGCAGGTGGCCGTGGGTGCAGGGCTGCTTCTGACTCCTAGCAAGGGCACTGCCCTGGGGGTTCCTGATGGTCCCCTGCATTATGCTCAACTGGAGAGAACTGTGAGAAACACTCTATATAAGAGTGTTGTGTCCTACGGCTGCTCTTTCTGTTTCTTTCTGAGTTTGACTAGAGAACAGTGTAATCCACAGGGCCACTGGGGTCTCTAAAACCTCACTTTGAAATATTAAGCAAGAAAAGGATGTAACTGGCAGGTACCACTTGTAAAAGTTAACCATGAACAACCCATGCCAGGGGCAGATTTCAGAGCCAGTCAACTCATTTCTAACCACTGGAAACAGTCTAAATGGTCTCAGAACTCACTTGGTCCTTGGGAACCTAATTGTTGCACTTACCTGAGTTTGCAACTGAAAAGAACTTAATATCAGCAAACCTACCTCTTCTGGAGTTCATCAACTTGAATGTTTAAAATTCTGCATCAAGTTAAAGCACCTTGGGATATCTTTAAAATCCTCCAGTGAGCCAGGGTCACCCTCAGAGGCCTGGGAGGGCTCATGGGCATGCAGGGTGAGGCTCCCCTGACCTGGATCCTGGAGGGCCTGACAAGCCTCAGTTCTGCATTCCTGTCCCAGTCCACTTGAGCTCCGGGAGCTGTTCCTGTCCTGAAGTCAGAGTGCAAACATTTGCGGTCCCTGTATGTGTGGGGTGTGTGGAGGGAACTCACAGCAGTGGAGCCCAGAGGGGAAGCCATGTTCTGGGAGCAGAAGCTCCCGGTGGGTCCCCAAGCTGCTGGGCTTTGCAATCGTGGGCAAGCTGGCTGCCTTCCTTGCAAGTCAGTGCCCGAAATCTCTACCATGATGGCAGCTCCCCCAGCTCTCTGCTGCTGAGATGGTGCAGGGACCAACCAGGAAGCCAGTGCAAACCTACCTGGGAGAACAGCTGATGCTTCTCCTAGACAAGAGCTCTTGTTTCCAGCAGTGGACGGGGCGGGGCCTGACCCTGAAAGTCCCCTCTGTGTGCTAAGCACAGGGTAGAAACCCACACAGAGCCTCCCTGTGGTCCTTACAGCCTCGTCAGGGCTTTCCAGGTAGGAAACTGAGCCTCAGAGACGGCCAGTAACTCAACTCCAAATCCCAGGCCCCGAATCCCCATCTCTTCCTATCACACGGTCTTGTCTTCACAGGAAATTACTGGAACTTCTAATTCTGAGAAAAATACATGTCCAGTCTCAGGAAAGGTAAAAGGCATAGAAAAGCACAACAAGGAAGTTTAAAGGCAGTTTGCATCTTAGTGGACCTTCCTCTGTCTCTTCCATGCACCAAGAAATCTTTGGTGTTCTGTGGTGCCGAGGATGGAACCCAGGGCCTCGAACATGCTAGGCAGCGCCCTACCGCTGAACTACATCCCCAGCCCTGAGAGATGTTTTTTAAAAAAATAAAAATGTGTTCTTACTGCACACGCCATTTCATAGTACGCTCATCACGGAAGGTACCAGGGTAGCATCGCGGGCATCACGTGGAGTTTCTCAGAATTGTAGGGCTCTCTGGCCCCAGCCTAGCCTCTGAAGCAGAGTCTGTGGTCATGGGGCTCCACACTCCCTGTTGCAGCCTCTGTTCCTCCTTGCCGAGTATAGTGGGCATCCTCCCATGTCCATAAATCCTTTTTCATCATGTGATTTTTATTTTTTTATTTTTTTGGTACTGGTTTCTAGTGATGCGTGACATTCCCTTGTGTGCCTGTGTGCCGAGTTGAAGGGCCTGTGGAACGTTCCCCAGCTGTTACAGGGGACTGCTGGAATGTCTAAAGCAGCAGAATGAGCATCTTGTAGGCTTTTGATGCACAGACCAGGTTGCCAGCCCAGAAGGGACTGGGTCCCTAAACCTCAGGCCAGGTTTCTTGAGGGCAGCTGCCATCAAGAGGAGAGACTCACACTTGGCTGGAGTGCAAGCTTTGATTTGAGGGACATATGGTCCACTGAGGTTTTTTAGTGGTTCTTAGACCAGTTGTTGGACCTCTCAGATGCTCCATTTCCTCACCTGCAAAATGGAGAGGTACCATTTGTTTCACTGCTGGTTTTAGTGAACATTAGATGAGAATAAATAGAAGCCACCTAGGACCTGGTACATTCCAATTCCTCTGAATAAAATGAGCTTTGGACGTAAGGAGGTTGCTGCAGTTTAAATGTTCCCACTAAACCTCTAGCGATTAGAGAAATGCAAATCAAAACTATTCTAAGGGCTGGGGTTGTGGCTCAGTGTCAGAGCGCTTGCCTTGAATGTGTGAGGCACTGGGTTCAATCTCAGCACACATAAAAATAAACAAATAAAATAAAGGTATTTTTTTAAAGGCTGAGTAGTTTAAAAAAAAAAAAAACCTAAGATTTCAACTCACTCCAGTCAGAATGGCAATTATCAAGAATACAAGCAACAATCAATGTTGGCAAGGATGTGGGGAAAAGGTTCACTCATACACTGCTGGCACTTGCTGGTAAATGGATAGAGCTGGAAAGTATCATGCCAAGCAAAATAAGCCAATCCCGAAGAACCAAAGGCCATTTGTTTTCTCTGCTATGTGGATGCTAATTCCACACTAAGTGGTGGTGGTGGGGTGGCTAGGGAAGAATAGAGGTACTTTAGCAGAGGGGGATGAAGGGAGGGGAGGGGGCGTGGGGGCAGGAAGGATAGTAAAATGAATCAGGCATTATCACCCTACGTGCATATATGATTACATGACCATGTAATCCTACATCATGTACAACCAGAAGAACGAGAAGTTATGCTCCATTTATGTATGATGTATCAAAATGCATTCTACCGTCATGTATAACTAATTAGAATAAATTGTTTAAAAAGCAAATCTGTTGAAGTTTAATCCCCATTGTGAGGTATTAAGAGGTGAGAACAGGAGACCTACAAGAAATGATGGGGTCATGAGAACTCCGTCCTTATACGTGGATCCATCTACTCATAGATTCCTGGGTTAATGAGTTGACCTTGAGTGGGTCTGTTCTAAAAGCCAGTTTGGTTCTCTTGGATGTACTCCTCTCACCATGTGATGCCCTGGGCCACCTTGGGACTCTACAGAGAGACCTCACCAGCAAGAAGCCCCCTATTAGAGGTAGCCTTTCTCCTCTTGGATCTCACAGCAGAACCATGAGTTAGATAAATAAACCTTTGTTCTTTATAAGTTACTCAGCCTGAATTATAGCAACAGAAAACAGACTAAGACAGAGGCCCTATCACAAAGCTTTAGGTTCTTTTTTTTTTTTTTGCACAAAATATTTTCTGTTGCACATAATTGCAATTTAATAGAGGCACATAGGTGTTATTGGCCTTTTTATCTGGTTTTCTGATGTCCTAGAAGATATATGACTTGGGCATTGCTAAGGACAAAGCACCAAAGAAAAGAAATTCCTGAGTACTTTAGTTAAAATAGAGAAGGTGTGTAAAATACGCAAACCGTGCCGTGAAAGTGGGCTGGAGGTGGCGGGAGTGGCCTGCGAGGTGCAGGTGTGCCCACGTGTGGAGGTGTGCGTGCTCCCATGAGGCCTGAATCTCTTCTGGCTTTGATGCTCTTCAGGGAACCTCGTGTTGCCTGGGCATCCTGCAGTGTCACCACAAGGTTGTCTGTGTCCGTTTAGAGCCATATCTTATGGGGGACAGTGGGCTGCTCTGTATCATCCTAGATGTTGGGCCACCACAGTGACAAAGCAGTGTCGAGGCTTCTAAGAGAGGATAGAACATAACAAGGTGCAGAGGCCACCCCTCCAAGCCAGGCTGGAGGCCTCTGTGCAGGACAGAATTGCCTCTGTGGGTCTGGTAGGGCTTCGCTTGTTCAGCAGGCAGAGAATCCTGCTCCCAGGACTACTCTAGAACAACAGTCCGAGGCCCCATTCCTGTCCCTTCAGTAATCACTCTGCTGGGTGGGCCACTGAACTGCCCTAGGAGACAGGAACTCCTACCAGCCTGTTGTCCCTTTCCCTGGGCCAAGTCTGAATGGCTAGCAGCAGAGCTCTCCTGCCAGGGCGGAGGCAGTGGGCCTGCAGATTCCGCCTCCTCTATAAGCTTACGAAGGCAGGTGCATAGAAACCACCTGCACTGTGGAGCTCTCTGAACCCAGCACCTTCCTTTGTCACCATATTCGTTCTGCTTTCTTCTTTAAACTGTAAACCATTTGACTCTGGAACTCTCTATACAGTTGGCATTTTGAAAAGCAGAAAAGCAAGTAGGACTCTTTTGGAACCATTTCCAGAAGTCTCCAGTGCCGCCTGCCTGCTCCTGGGTTTTAATATTACAGAATCTCACAGGTTGGTTGCCTAGAGCCTTCTGTCATTGTTGTGCATGTTGCCTGGCAACTGCTGACTGGCACAGCGGCCCTCAGACTTGGGATGGACTTGAGTCCCTGGAGTTGCTGCTCACTTGCAGGAAGCTATTATTTTGAAGTGGCAGCCGCAGGTAATCAGAGAGGACGTCACCAGGCCCCTGGCTTTGTCACCTGCAGAGGCTGGGGAGCTGCCAGGCAGGCTCAGTTGGTGATTTCTCTTGGGTGGGCGTGGCCTGTGCACCTGTCAGGTGTGGTCTCCAGTGGAGAGGGCTGGAAATCCTATCAGGGTCTCAGTGAGCCGTAATAAGCAGGGGCCAGGCTAAAGTAGCCTTTGGATGTCCCTAAGAAGGCAGTTCACAAAACATTTCTAGGACCCAAGGGGACATCATGGGCCTAGCAAAAAATAAACAGAAAACAAACATTAGCAAGTGTGCAGGGGCAGAGACAAGCACGGCCCCTCCCTTGCTGTGGCCCCTGGCTCCGCAGAAAGCAAGTGTGTGTCAATGGTGGCAGGAGGCGCCGTGTGGCATGGGTGGGAGATTGGGAGAGGGGTGTGTTTGGCTCAGAATCTGCTCTGGATTTCCCCAGCAGTGGACCTGGCTCCTTCCCGGGTGGGGTCTGCCCTTTCCCAGGTGGGGAGTGCAGCCCCGCCTCTCAGGGCCTCTGCCTGTTTCCATGGGGAGGTCAGGAAAGCACAGCCCGAGTTGGTTGTTTTCTGTCCTCAGCCATTCAGTGGGGACTCCAGTCACAGGGAAGCAGGTGACACTCCAGACCAACTCCCTGAGGAGTCAGGCCACCCCCACCCCTGCCCTCAGGGCTTGGAGTGGAAGAAGGAAGTGCCAGCGTTTCTCAGATAGCTTTTACTACAGGTGCCTGCTCACCTGCCCAAGGAGCTGGTGGGCTGGGCTCAAGACTGGCTGGGATTGGCTGGAGCCCCGCTTCCTTGTGGCTTGTGGGTGCCATCAGGCCCACTGGAGCTGCCCGGGAAACAGGGGCTGGGGCTCCTGCCCAGCGTCTGGTGGTGTCCCAAGAGCCCTAGGCCCTGGCAGCACCACAGGGAGACCTGCTCTTCTCCCTGCTGCCAGATTCAGGAGGATGAGAGAGGCAGAGGCTCACTCCACCGTCAGGAAGATGGCTGCCTTTTACCAATGCGTCAGGCCCGACCCCAGGTGCGCCCCCTGTGAGCCAAGAGGTGGGGGCTGGGGCTGTAGGGGAGGGGAGGCCGTGCCGCCACTGCCAGGGCCTGGGTGCCCTCATTCTTTGGGGCTGGGGTCTTTGGCATCCACTGTCTCTGGTTCTAGGGTGATTGTGACCCCCCCTTCCTTACAGACTTTATTCTGTCTCCTTGAATTATGTGAATTCTGGAGCAAAATAATGATTTCCTTTGTTTGCTTTGCGAGGGAGCGAGAGGGAGAGATCCAGGAGGACTGGGTAAACAGAGCGCTGTACTTTCGCTCTCCTGGCTTGCTCCTTGGATCTGCAAGGCATCACTGATATGCTCTGAATGGAAGGAGGGCAGCCAGAGGTCAAAGTAAAAGGACATTGGAAGTATTACTCAAAGCTCAGCACCCAAGGGCTCGTTCCCATCTGACAGACCCAGCCGTGGGTGACACCCTGCTGGAGCTCCTGCCCAGCAGAGGCCAACACCCCTGCACACGGCCATCTGGCCCTGTTATAGGTGACCTTATCCCTGGAAGGTGTGTGGCTCTCGGTGCATCTTAATTCTGTGCCTGGTGGTGCAGAGGGGAGTAGAGCTCTGGCTTGATTTAAACTCATTAGCTCAGCTTAAATAAACAAATCGCATGTCTCCTACCTCAGATGGAAAATCCCAGTATCGCAGCCTCTGTCCATCTGGTGATCGTTACATCTGCCCATCCCTTGGTTAGGTGGATCGTCTTGGAAAATTGATCTTGCATCTTTGGAAGGATCCACCTACCTCTGGGCAGCAGGAGGGGATGCTTGACACTTGGGGCAGGTGGTCCCTCCCCAAGCATCACTTTTTCTTTTGTTACATAGGAGAAGAGACCCAACAGCTCAAGGACTCCTTGTGAACACAGGGCATCTTACTGGGTAAAGTCCTGTGCAGCAAGTCATTATTGTTACTGTTTCCTTTAGCAATTTTATTGTTCTTTTTTTTTAAATCTATAAAACAGGCATTATCTTGATATATATGCACAGAAATAAGGGAGTGTGTTGCCTTAGTAAAGTTACAAAATGAAAAACAAGCCAGCCCTTGTAAAACTGTCCCTTGTATCCAGGACTCTAGGGTCCCATTGGTTGCGCGTGTATTTAGCCATCGGCACTGGGTACAGCTTGCACCCTGAGATTGAAAGTTCCAAGTTAAGTAGCATCTTTGCAAGATACTCCCCAGCATTGGAATGAATTTATATTTCCCCCAAGAATTATGCAAATAGAATTTCTAAAATAAGGTTGTGGAGTTTGACGCTCCGACACTTAGCTATTTAGCTATTTTTGAAATAATGGTTTTGTAAAAGTCTCTAATAGATTTTTTTAAAACTCTAATAACCTGAAAATGTCTAAACTAATGTTTTTGAAATCTCATATGAAAACATTTACTTCTGGATAGGTGAAAAACAGGATGCTCTCATGAACACGGTCCTGCATTGCTGCTGAGACGTGGGTTTCATTCAGGTGTGAGAGCGTGTGTGGGTTTGGGTGCCTGCAGGATCACAGACAGATGTGCAGATAGATGAGTTTACACCGTGTTGGAAGCCACGTGCCTTCCTAGTTAGGAAACTTACTTTGTTCATTTATAAGGACTCTGAATACCACTAAATCAACTGTTATATAAGCAAGTTTCAGAAACTAGTATAGTTTATCTTATATAAGATACTATTTATATGCTTATAAACTGTGCTGATGGATGGCTGAGTGAGTTGGAAGGAAGTGGTGGTATTACTTTGCAAAAGAAATAGCCCAGGGGCTTGTGGCCTGCTCCTTGTTCTCTCTAGATGCCCTCAGTGTCCCTGTCCTGCACATGGCCAGTGGGGAGCCTCAAGCCTCTAAGCAGAGACCTCCTTTGCTTTCACTTTCCTTTACTCCTTAACTGAGGGGTCTGCACAGCTGTTCAGTAGGTGATGTCTAACGGGATGTGGGCAAGACTCAGGAGAACAAATGTGACTTGGTCTAGTGAAGTCTGCCCTTGGGGCACTGGAGGGCTGGGTGGACTCGGGAATTGCAGGTGGTAGGTTGATGCCATCTCACCTTTAGTGGGAGGCGATTCTTTCATCTGGCCAGAGTCACTGAGGAGCGCCTGCAGTTCATCCATTCACAGAACAGGGTGTCTTAAGCACGTACCACGTGGCAGTGCTTTGCTGGTACATATTCTCAATTTTCATAGATTATCTTTGATTTTTTTTACATATTTAGCAAGAAAGGGATGATTCACTTCTTTAGGTCAAGACTCAGTGTTTTATAAAAAGATAAACCTAAATGGGTGCCTTGGCACACGCCTGTAATCCCAGTGGCTGGGGAAGCTGAGGCAGGAGGATTGCAAGTTCAAGGCCAGCCTCTGCACCTTAGTGAGATTCTGTCTCAAAGTAAAAAATAAAATAGGGTTGAGGATTTAGCTCAGTGGTAACGCATCCTGGGTTCAATCCCCAATACTGAAAAACAAAGCAAAACATTAATTATAAGATACTAGGAAACTTTAAAACTGAGCAGCCAATAAGTTCTTTTACTCTTCCTTCTTGTCCTGTTTAAAGCTTGTCACTTATCCTTAGAGTATTCTCTGGTTTCAGCCCTTAGTGTATGAGATTTCTTTGCTTTCTTTTCTTCCGTATAGCCCTGTCTTCTCCTGTCCTTCCTGACAGGTGGGCACAGGAGGGCTGCGTGTGGCTAGGTGTCTGCTTGCAGGGAAGGTGGTCCTCTGGCTCCTTGAGGGAGAGAGGGTGGATCGTGGTGAGATTCTCTGTGGGGTGGGTATAGCAGCAGGTCCCTTGGCTGTTGAGGATAATAATACCATTAAACAGTGAGCTGGCATGGTTTTTGAACAGAGATTTCTCACAGGAACTTTGTGAGCATTACACATTCCATTTGCCTCAATAATGTGAAACTTATTTTTCCAAAAAAAGGAACAGGCAGATCCTGACGTGACTCACTGGAGAACAATAGTTAAGTCATAATTTATTTTCATCTTTTTCCCCAAGAAAAGGAAAAATTGATTAGATGTATGGGGACGTAAGCAGGCATACATCTGTAAAGGGGCACTTGATCAAAGAGTCACACAGACACACACAGAGTTGACAGGCACATCACATTCAGTTGCAAGAGACCCTAATGTGTTGGGGAGGGGCAGGGAATATCATGTTCCAGCAGAGGGGTCAGCATCTCAAAGACCCCTGGCAGGAAGGAGATGGAGTGCCATGAGGGGGACAGGGGCAGGGCTAAGGTGTGTGCTCCTGCTAGTGGTGCCCAGGTCCTCTAGCCTGACGCCTCTTCTTATTGATAGCTGGACCCATCCACCTTTATATTGCTTCCCATTCCCACCTATATCTCCAGGTTTCTATCCAGTGTCATATCCTCCCTCTTGTAATATCTGTTTTAGTGAGTTTGCTAGGAATATGCCTTTACATCATCCTTTTTTTTTTCTTTCCAGATAAAACTCCCCCCCCCAACAACTTTGCTGACGTGTGATTCATATACCATAAAAGTTCACCTGTTTGAAGTATAAGGTCAATGGGTTTAATTGTGCATCTGTGAACACCAACTAATTTTTTTTATGTCAATTGCACATTCTCCAAGTGAGTGAAACTACATGTTACATATGATTCTGGGGTTGGGGATTTAGCTCAGTTGGTAGAGTGCTTGCCTTGCATGCACAAAGCCCTGGGTTCAATCCCCAGCACCATAAAAATAAAAAACAACAAGATTTGGTAGCAAGCATATTGGGTTATACTGAGGTGTCTCAGACTTCTTTCTGTCATGTCAAACACTGAAAATATCATTGTATACCTCACAAGGATAGACTGGTTACAATTTAACATATAGTGGACATTTTCTTTTTTTAAAGTAACTCTCCAATAACATAAGACTGAATCAAGAAATATTCTTTTAAAAAGTTTTTGGATTTATATTACTAAATTTTGATGTAGCACTTTTGTCTGTGTATTTCTAAACATGGACTGAGCAATAAGTTTTTGTTCTTGTTTTTTGTTTTTGTTTTTGTTTTTTTTTTTTTTTTGGTTTGGGGGGAGTTTTTTTGTTTTGTTTTCAATGCACTCAAATTTCTGACTCTCTAAGACACTCTGACTGTCCAATATTAAATTTTACTGAAATCCCTTTTGCCCACTGTGCTGAGAAGCACTATTCCCACTGCTTGAATCCCAGGCCATGGAGCATCTAGGAATGTAGTCCTCCTCTAGCCCGCCATCTTGAATTTCTCTTGGGGTGTTTAGTGGTTGTTGTTTTCTTGTTTGTTTTCTCCTTTAAAAAAAAAATCTATCCTTTCCTAATGGTGATATAAGGATTTATAGACTGAGTTGAGACAATCTTCATTTTATTTTAAGATCTGAGATATGTTTTACACAAATGAAGGGCTTATTTGCTTATAACATGTTGATGGCCCCCACCCATAAAACTGTCTTGGTTTATTTCCATGGGTAGGGAAGAAGGATAGTAGGATGAGAGCTCAATTTATTATATGATTTCCAGTCTGTTTAGATAATTTCTGGGGTTTTTTGGAGTCAATTTTGGGTATTTATATTTTTCTGGTTATTTTGGTTATTTGTATTTGATTATTTGTATTTTTGTAAAATCATCGATTTCATGTCAATTTGAAAATTCTGTTTTTCCAACTGTATTCTCTGGTGTAGCTATGTTGGGTTTCTCATTTAAAGGGAGTCTGTGATTTCTCTCCTTTCTTTTTTCCATGTTTTTATTGGTGCATTATAATTATAAATAATGGTGGGGTTTGTTTTTATATATTTGTATACATACAATATATATATATATATGTATATATATATATATATATAATATGATTTATCCAACATAATTCCCAGTACTTCTCTTTTCTCTCCCTTCCTCCCTCCTCCTGGTCCCTTTCCTCTGTTCTGCTGATCTCCCTTTGATTTTTATGAGATCTGCCTTCACCTTTATTTTCCTTTTTTCCTCTCTAGCTTCCATATATGAGATAGTGTATGATCCT